GAGGATTATGAACTTGGTTGTTTGTTTTGTGTGTTTGCGATTTGGTATGTCTTAGTTGCACGATTCCTAGTTTAATCATGTTGTTGTAATAAACATGTCTAATAACGGTATTGTATCACGTTGAAAAATCTCAGTTGGATACAAGAGAGGGTTAAAAGAAGACGACAACCACAAGACTAATAGAAAGTTCATCAGAATAATGTGTATTTTGATTCAAAGAAGAAACTTGTTGGTGCAAAACCGTCAGATGACTTTGTTGGATTCTCATCCGGAGCTGACAACGCTTTGCGAGATAACCAAAGCAATTCTGAATCTTAACTCGCCAGTGATGCAACAAGATGAGCAGATTTATTTGGGCAATGAGGATGATGATGGTGAAGTAATTGTTTCCAAGCCTCTGGTTGCTGAGAAGAGGAAAGGGGCGCCTGACCAAATGGAGGCATCAAGTTGCTACTATGGGGGATTTGAGTAGTTCTGACGCAGCTTTTCATGAAAATGTCTTGCTAACAAGCTCTAGGCAATGCAAGTATTCAAGTACATGCATCTGCTGGCTCTAACCATCTGGTTCAAACACAGGCAGTGCATCAACCTGGAAAACAGACAAAGGGATATATAGAGTCCATATGGAGCAGATGCAAGCATTCAAGCAATAAAGCATTTGTAATGAAGGACTCAATTTAGTTTCCCAGACTTGTAACCTTATCAACACCTTCTAAACGTGTTTGTGGATACTTGACTTAAAGTCTGGTGAATGTTAATCAGTAATACTACATAACTAAATTAAAGCTGAAAATGACTACAATAATAGAATCAGTAATACTACCAAGCAATTCAAAACAATTGTTTGAAAAAAAAAAAAATGTAGAGTTCAAATGGAGCAGATTCAAGCGTTGAAGCATTAAAGTATCTGTAACGATGAACACACTTAACTATCCAAATGCTTGGAACTGTATCAAACCCTCTATAAGTGTCGGTGAATACATGGCTTAAGCTTGGTGTTAAATTACAATCACTGGTCCTATTTTTAGAAACGTGGAGAAGATGAGAGGGAAAAGAAGAAGACAAAGGTAGACGATCTAACCTCAGGATAAAAATGGTTCTATTTTACCATTTTTATCGTAAGACATGTTTTGACACCACTTAAAACTTCACAACCATATGGATTTTAATATCCTAATCAAGGAAAGACTGCGCTCCAGAAACATTCTATATGTAGAGTAGAGAGAAGAAGAGATACTACACTCTCTTTAGTAGCTCAGCTCTAAGCCAGATACAAGCAGCATAATCTGACAATGTTATTGTTTTGGCTAATATAATTCAAACACAATGCATAAAGAAAACATATTTCATTTTTATTACCAAACCTGATCAAAGAACCAGAGGAGATTATGTTATTTAATTGAAACAGAGTTTCATGGGAAGAAGATCTAAAGAGACCAAAATTTGAAACACAATAGTAGTGCAGTTTTGAAGACAGAGTTACAACACATACACTTACCAAGAAGTAAGAAACAGTCTTCATTAAGAGAGACCAAGATCTCACAAGAAACATCAAACCATAATCACACTATGAACAAAACAAACATGATCGAAAAGCATATCTAACAAGATTTTGTCCAATTGGCCTTCAGACAACAAATCTCATTTTAAAAGTACCACATAAATAAACATGATAACAGAGAAATTAACAAGTGTATCGAATTTGTGGGACATCAGAAATGAAATTGATCCAGCAAAAAAATTGGCATTGGAGCTCTACTGCTACAGATAGAAATATGAATGATCTTCCATTCTTTCATTCATCCTCCAATTGATGATCCTGCAAAGCAAACACACAAAAACAGTCAGAGGGAACTTTAATCTGACTTGGACATTCAGTAGCAAACTTCCCCGGATGCTACAGCAGAAGCTGCACCCAAAGGCATTGGGAAGTGAACACTGGAAAACAATGAGTAGAGGACATACCACTCTTCTGCAGATTCTCCAACATTGCCGATGCCTTTTGTAGTTCCTGCTTACTACATAAACCGGCCAGCATACTGTGGAAAGTGATGTAATCTGGAGCCACACCACTAGAAATCATCTCACTGAGAAGGTCTTGAGCGGCATTAAGATCACCCATTTGACAAAACCCATGAATCAAAGTATTGTAAGTAACTGTATCAGGAACTATTCCTCTTTGATGCATCTCGCAGAAAATCTCCATTCCATCGTAAACCCTTTTAGCCTTACAATAGCCATTAATTAGGGTACTACAAGTAAATACGTCTGGAGAGCAGCCCTTGCTAGCCATCGAATTAAACATGCGCTTTGCATCATCTAGACGACCCTGCTTGCAAAATCCATCGATCATTGAGTTATAAGTGATTGTATCAGGAAATATACCTCTACGAAGCATCTCACCATATAATTCTTCAGCCTCAACCAACTTCCCTTCTTTGACAAATGCATTGATCAATGCGTTGAAAGTTACAACATTAGGATTGATTTGCCTTTCAATCATATCACGCAACAATTGCTCGGCATCACTCCATCTACCAGATCTACAAAAAGCGTCTATCATACAGTTGTAGGTAAGAACATTGGGAAAAATTCTTTTGTCATGCATTTCAGTGAAAAGATTTTGAGCATCGATATAACTTCCGTCTTTGCAAAGGCGATCAATGATGGCACTATAGATGACAACATCAGCTTTGACGTGGTTTTCTTCCATCTTCCTAAGCAGATTCAAGGCCAACACAGTGTTACCCATCTTACACATTCCATTGACAATTGTTCCGTAACTAACCTCGTTAGGTTGATGACCTTCTTCTACCATCCGATCAACAAGAGCTAGTGCTTCAAGAACTCGACCCTCACGGCAAAGACCGTTCATCAGTGTTGTAAACGTTACGACATTGGGTGTTAATCCAGTGTCAACCATATGATCAAATAAAGCAACCGCTTCAGAGATCCTATCTTCCAGACATAGCCCGTGGAGCAGCGTGTTAAACGTAACAACATTGGGCTGGAAACCAAGTTTGGTGATCTTCCCGAATGTAGACAAAGCAAATGACAACTTATAACAGTCGCAGAAACACTTAATCAGAATATTGAAGCTGTAGATATTACGTGGAATCCGGCGCATTTCCATCTTCCGGTAGAGAGAAATCGCAACATCGGGAAGCTCCATCCTCACGAAGACACCAATTACCTTATTGAAATCAATTGCTGAATACAAGGGACGAGATCTAACCATTTCATCGAACAAATCTATCGCATCCTCTAAGCTTTTGATATAATGAAACCCACTTTTCAATTTCAATTCCTCTCCTTCAAATGATGTTCCTGGGCTCAAAGAAGGTAGACTCTTTGATGAAATTGTACCTTTCTTGTAGACACGACCGTGAATCAATCTCGTACTCATCAATCTAGCAGAAGATTCCGATCTCCGAATACGAGCCAACATTCTGCTTCGCCTCGACCTCTAACTCAGATATGGTGAAGAGTGATTATGTAAACCCTAACTCGCAACAAAAAATCAAACAGAAGAAGACCGGTTCAATGAACTCTCATGTCTCGAGCCAGAACACCAATGTAGTGAACTGGACTAGGCCACGACGTCGTTTTCCTGCTTTTATTTTCATCAATTTCTATTTTCTTTTGTTTTGGTCCTTTTGGATATACTTTTATTTAAATAATTATCAATTCAAGACAAACCATATGATTTGTGTGAATGACCAACATACATATTTCAATATAAAAACTAAATCCGTACTTATTTCTTTAAATTCCTTTTTATATGATTTTCCGCGTGTTCACGGATAATCTTCTCTTCGAAACAAATTTAATTTTAATTCAAACATATAATATTGTAAGACAATGGTTTACCTACTTTCTATGAGCAAAACTTCAATCTTTGAAGCCAGGTAAATTTGAAACTATTCAAGCCACAATGACATCTGCAAACAAGGTATACAGAAACTGCTATAACAAAAATAAAACACACATCAGATCTCACTTGTTACAACCTTGATTTTTCATGAACTGGGGAGGAGCATCCCAAAGATATTTTATAGCCTGAGGCTGTCCATCTAGAGAAGAAAAAGAGTCCTTCTTCTTTAGCAATCCACAAACACTTAACCTCAAGTTCTTTGCTCCACGAAGTCTCATAAGCCACAAACTCTTGGTGATGCTTAAAATTTGGACCTTGATTCATTTGACATGAGAACTTAGTCGTTTGCCAAATGTTATCACCAAAAGTAAACTCCTAGTCTTCGCCGACTTTCTCTCCAAGATCATCGTCTTCAGAACGACAATGAACCTTTAAGAAGCTTGTTGTGCTGCAACTGGTTGCTTACAGTGACTTTGATTGCTCCTATCAAGGGGGCACCATTGCTTAAGCCAATGCATAGGCTTAAAAGAATCGGAAATAACATGAAGAGATTGTTATTTAACCTTGTACCAAAAAAAAAAAATGAAGAGATTGTTCAATTTTATGTGTGTGATAACTTTGGGAGACAAGAGTAAATTAAATCTCTTTGTTAATTAATTTTTATGGTAGATAATTAAACGCAATCTGAGATGTATTAGAACCATTGATTTGAGAACCAAGATTCTATTGTTTGGATCTTTCAAAGAAATAAAGAAAATTGATGACCAACAGATTCTTCTCCTAACTAAACTTTGTGATTTGATCAATCATATCCTACTATCCGTTAAAGCGTATAGCTCTAGGATTTTATTGCACTAAAATTTTGGTCGTAGGTTAATAATTTATTTCACGATTTCCAAAGCCAAACATGATTAGAACTTAGAAGATAAAAGAATTTTTTTTTTAACTCTGAAACATATTTGTAAAACATGATTAGAATTTAGAAGATATTTAGGTCTCTTATTATTGTCTTGGTCTTGGAATTTGTAGTTATGAAAAATAATAAGTTGATCTCGCATTTTGTCGAAAGCTTGGGGTTTATTTTACAAACCCATAAAAATATCCACCGACTTTGCCCTAAGCATGCATAAATCCGCCGTTGGCCTTGGTGATTGACATCAGAGTAATCTTTTTTCTTTATTGACAAATCTGAGGAGAAGAGTAATGGATCACAGAGATCTGAGGTATCGTCAAGCGGTAATCTGCTCTTGTTGCGGCGTGCGAGTGATAGATTCCTTGTCTCTCAAACAATCTTTGATTTTTCCTGTTGCTTTTATCTTTTTTGTGTTTCAATGGCTCATGAAGAAGATTTTCAGATCTCATCTCTTATTTAGTCTCTTGCTCGTTGATGTCCTGTTTGGAGTGTTTAAATTGGTAAATCTTCTAGGTTTAGGATTCGTAGGAACTTTGGTGCATGTCTAGATCCAAATCCGTCTTTAAAGTCATTATAGCGGCTGATTCTGATGGCTTGTAGCCAAGTCAAGTTATATTGATTGTTGTTCTTATATGCAGATCGGATTTGTAGTGGATGATGAATCTGATTCTATTCAAAGAACAACACCAAACTTAACGCTTCAAATATCTAAAAGCGAGCACGACTGGGCTGATGATCGGTTGGCAAGAGAAAGGGCAAGAGAGGATCGCGCCTGACACAATGATCGGTTGGCAAGAGAAAGGGATCGCGCCTGGCACAATGATCGGTCGGCAAGTGGTGCCAAGTGTCCATTCCCCAGCCAGAACATAAGTACTCATTGTTATGGGTAAGCTGTTTTCTTCTGTATTGCTTGAGTCTCTTGCTATGGTTTATTTTCTCACTGATCAGCTCATACACCACTGACAGATATGAATTGTGATGATCTTTATCATCTTGTGCTGAGCTTATGCTATGTTAGTCTTGTTATATATTTACGCTCCTTTCGAATTTATGTTCTCTTAATGCGTTACTAGTTTTGCATCTCGAAACACTCAGATTGAGTTTCTGATTCTCATCTTCTTTTTACACAGTCACAGCACTTTAGAGGTTCAACATTTGGCAGGGGTAATTGCAACTCTGGAACCACCAGAGGACAAAAGCATCAAAACACTTGTCGTGTGTGGATTTAACTCGAGAATCCTCGAGCAGACCATACTAGACAAATTTTCTGCTTATGGAGTGATCAAATCTATCAGATTCTTTGCCAGGGAACGTCGTGCGTTAGTCACATACACAGACCGAGAAGGAGCAGAGAAGGCCACTCAAGGCCTCTCCAAGTGGCTACTCATCAATGGTCAGAGGCTAAAACTTGCATGGGGAAGGCCTCAGGACAACGAACCTGATCAAGATAGTTTGAACCAACAGGGCACTGTGGCTGATAGTGGTTTACTATCACAGCAGCAGAATCGACCCTCAGCTATGGACCTTGGCGCAGTCATTTCAGCCCAAGAGGTTGGTGGTTCAAGCACCAGTGAGACCAAGGAAGCTTCTTCGTCCAATATTCCAATCATCTGCGCCTGGTGTGTCTTCAACAATGATCGGTGGACAAGAGAAATGGAGCACGCCTGCAACGAAGCTTCTTCTTCTTCTTACGAGAGGCCTCCACAGATGCCACTACCATCCGAAGATGAGTATCGGACTAGTCTTAGAAGAAGCAAGATTTAATAACTTCGATCTATTATTTTCTCGTTAATTAGACTATAATGGTGTTGGTGTTTTTTTACGACTGTAGTAACAAATCTTAATTATGAAAAAGGATGGAATTAAGAAGCTAGTTTTAGTGTTTTAGATTTTCATGGTCTATAATTCTTTATAATATTTAATATTCATTGTGTTAACTTCATATTAATTTTGCTTTTCAACATAAAGGAAACATTAAATATACAAAATCATATATTCACCAAAAAACTAAAATAAAGACTAATAACTTTAAAAGAAAAATAAATGGATATGGAGAAGACAACATTTCACAATTTCGCTTCGCTTAGATTGTTAGACCATCTTTATTGGGAGGTGCTTAATTTGGTTCTTAGCTCAAAAAATATTAAAATTAAAGGTGTAATTGATGATTTTGCTAAGGAATGACTCTTAACTAAGAGTCAAAAATTGGGGTAAGAACCAAAAAAAATTACTAAGAACCAAAACTAAACACCTCCCAATAATGTTGCTCTTTTCTTCAAAGTCAAAAGTCAAAAGTCAATGGTGAAAAACCAAATTTTTGAATTGTTAGTGAGTTAATTCTTTTCTTCAAAGTCAAAAGTCAATGGTGAAAACGCCTTTTCCAATTTCTCCATTGTTTATGGCTCATCCACTGATCATATATGAACTTGAATTTCTCGCTCCTCTAATTTCATGGCTTCTTCTTCTTCACCTCGCACCTGGAGATACCGAGTCTTCACGAGCTTCCATGGACCTGATGTCCGTAAAACCTTTCTCAGTCATTTACGCAAACAGTTTATCTGCAATGGGATCACCATGTTCGATGATCAAGGGATCGAGAGAGGTCAAACCATTATCCCAGAACTCACACGAGGGATTAGGGAATCTAGGATCTCGATCGTAGTGCTCTCGAAGAACTATGCTTCATCGAGCTGGTGTTTGGATGAGCTGTTGGAGATTTTGAAGTGCAAAGAAGATATTGGACAAATAGTGATGACGGTCTTCTACGGCGTTGATCCTTCTGATGTTCGGAAACAAACCGGAGAATTCGGGATCCGATTAAGTGAAACTTGTGATGGTAAAACGGAGGAGGAGAGGCGAAGATGGAGCCAAGCTTTGAACGATGTGGGAAACATAGCCGGAGAACACTTCCTAAACTGGTTAGTTTAATTTCGTTCAATTAATTCGGAATTCATGTTTCTCAATCCGATTAGGGACATCTCCTTTGTGAATCTAAAAGATCTCATAGGTTCATGAATTACTTTATTAGCAACATAAGACTCATGTCTTTCATGTGCAAAACATTATTTCAGCTAACTATGCATAATAAAGATAGGTTCAGATTTCACATGACTATTTGATAAACACTATGAATTTTCCGTTCTTGTTAGGGACAAGGAATCGAAGATGGTCGAGAAGATTGCTAGAGATGTATCAAACAAACTAAACACTACAATCTCTAAGGATTTTGAAGATATGGTGGGTATTGAAGCACACTTGCAGAAAATGCAGTCTTTGTTACATTTAGATAATGAAGATGGAGCTATCATTGTTGGAATTTGTGGTCCTTCCGGCATTGGTAAGACTACCATTGCAAGGGCTTTACATAGCCGACTCTCTAGCAGTTTTCAGCTTACTTGTTTTATGGAGAATCTTAAGGGAAGCTCTAATAGTGGTCTTGATGAGTATGGATTGAAGTTGTGTCTGCAACAGCAGCTTCTTTCAAAGATTTTAAACCAAAATGATTTGAGGATATTCCATTTAGGTGCGATACCGGAAAGGCTGTGCGACCAAAAAGTTCTTATCATTCTTGATGATGTGGACGATCTGCAGCAACTTGAGGCTTTGGCTAATGAAACTAGTTGGTTTGGTCCTGGAAGCAGGATTATTGTAACCACGGAAGATCAAGAGCTTCTGGAGCAACATGATATCAACAATACATACCATGTGGATTTCCCAACTACAAAAGAAGCTCGTAAGATCTTTTGTAGATCTGCTTTTAGACAGAGTTCTGCACCATATGGTTTTGAAAAGCTTGTCGAACGAGTAATAAAACTTTGCAGTAACCTTCCGTTGGGTCTCCGTGTCATGGGTTCATCATTACGAAGAAAGAAAGAAGACGACTGGGAAAGTATATTGCATAGGCTAGAAAATAGCCTTGATCGAAAGATCGAGGGAGTACTTAGAGTCGGATACGATAATTTACATAAGAACGATCAATTTCTTTTTCTCCTGATTGCATTCTTCTTCAACAACCAAGACAATGATCATGTGAAAGCAATGCTTGGTGGCAGTAATTTGGATGTCAGATACGGGTTGAAAACCCTCACATATAAATCTCTCATACAAATATCTATCAAAGGAGAGATAATGATGCATAAGTTACTACAACAAGTGGGTAAAGAAGCGGTTCAAAGACAAGATAATGGGAAACGCCAAATCCTAATAGACACTGATGAGATTTGTGATGTCCTCGAAAATGATTCTGTAAGTTCTTCTTCGATTTGTTCTTTTTCTTTTTTTAATCTCTGTTTAACCAGGTCATTTGGAAAATACTCTACATATCTTATTAATGGTGCTAACATTTTCTATTTTGAAATTTGTTTAGGGTAGTAGAAATGTGATGGGTATATCTTTTGATATATCCACACTCTTAAACGATGTGTATATAAGCGCAGAAGCTTTTAAAAGGATCCGTAATCTTCGATTTCTCAGCATTTACAAGACAAGATTTGATACAAATGTTAGACTGCATCTATCCGAGGACATGGTTTTTCCACCTCAACTAAGGTTATTACATTGGGAGGTATATCCAGGAAAGTGTCTTCCTCATACATTTAGGCCGGAATATCTTGTGGAGCTTAATTTGCGAGATAACCAGCTCGAGAAGCTTTGGGAAGGAATCCAGGTTGGTATATATTTTTGTTCTCTCCGAATAGTTGAAGTAACTACTTGTCACCAGGTGCTGATGATCTTTCCTCTTTTTTGTGCTGTTTTGCATTCAGCCCCTAACAAATCTCAAGAAGATGGAATTGTTACGGTCCTGTCATTTAAAGGAACTCCCAGATCTTTCAGATGCTACAAATCTTGAGGTATTGAATCTGGCTCGTTGCGAGAGTTTGGTAGAGATTCCTCCTTCTTTTGGAAATCTTCATAAGCTAGAGAAGTTGATTATGGATTTCTGTAGAAAGCTAAAAGTTGTTCCGACTCACTTCAACTTGGCATCTCTTGAATCACTGGGGATGATGGGATGCTGGCAATTGAAAAAAATTCCGGATATTTCTACGAATATTACAACACTCTCAATGACAGACACAATGTTAGAAGATTTGACTGAATCAATTAGGCTCTGGTCTGGCCTTCAGGTTCTCGATATATATGGCAGTGTCAATATATATCATGCCACTGCAGAAATTTATCTAGAGGGAAGAGGCGCAGATATTGAAAAAATTCCATATTGCATCAAAGATCTTGATGGGTTAAAGGAGCTTCATATATATGGCTGTCCAAAAATCGCATCACTGCCAGAGCTCCCTAGCTCGCTAAAAAGACTAATAGTAGACTCTTGTGAATCACTGGAGACACTAGTACCTTTCCCTTTCGAGTCTGCAATTGAAGATCTCTATTTCTCCAACTGCTTCAAATTGGGTCAAGAAGCACGTAGAGTCATTACCAAGCAATCTAGGGACGCATGGCTACCCGGAAGAAATGTACCAGCGGAGTTTCATCACCGAGCTGTTGGAAATTCCTTAACCATCCCTTCAGATACATACGAATGCAGGATCTGCGTCGTGATTTCTCCTAAACAGAAAATGGTAGAATATTTTGACTTGTTGTGTCGTCAACGCAAAAACGGTATCTCCACTGGCCAAAAAAGACTTCAGCTTCTCCCCAAGGTCCAAGCTGAACATCTATTTATAGGCCACTTTACTCTTTCTGATAAACTGGACAGTGGGGTATTGTTGGAATTCAGCACCTCATCCAAGGACATCGCCATTATCGAATGCGGTATTCAGATCTTTCACGGACACTATCGATAGAAGAAGCAGAAGAGCTAAAGATAATTGGTGCTACGCTGGTTTAGTATCAATTAAACCGGTTTAGTATCAATTAAACCATTAATACAGTAATTGGTGCTAAGCTGGTATAGCAACAATTAAACCATTAATCATTTCGACGACTTATGACTTCATTCCCTTTCCAGCTCTCTCCTTTTCAAAAGTCAAAAGTCAAAAATCGAAAGTCAATGGTGAATACGCCTTTTCCAATTTCTCCATCGTTTATGGCTCATCCACTGATCCACAAACATTTTTTTGTGTATGTGAACTTGAATTTCTCACTACTCTAATCTCATGGCTTCTTCTTCTTCACCTCGCACCTGGAGATATCGCGTCTTCACGAGCTTCCATGGACCTGATGTCCGTAAAACCTTTCTCAGTCATTTACGCAAACAGTTTATCTGCAATGGGATCACCATGTTCGATGATCAAGGTATCGAGAGAGGTCAAACCATTTCCCCAGAACTCACACGAGGGATTAGGGAATCGAGGATCTCGATCGTGGTGCTCTCGAAGAAGTATGCTTCATCGAGCTGGTGTTTGGATGAGCTGTTGGAGATTTTGAAGTGCAAGGAAGATATTGGGCAAATAGTGATGACGGTCTTCTACGGAGTAGATCCATCTGATGTGCGGAAACAAACCGGAGATATCTGGAAAGTTTTCAAGAAAACATGTGGTGGTAAAACGGAGGAGAAGAGGCGAAAATGGAGCCAAGCTTTAAACGATGTTGGTAACATAGCCGGAGAACACTTCCTAAACTGGTTAGTTTGAATCTGGGATTATCTTAGTGAATCTGCAATTCAATTTCACATAAATATTTGATGGACATGGTGATTTCTCTCTGTTCTTAGGGATAATGAATCGAAGATGATTGAAAAGATTGCAAGAGATGTTTCAAACAAACTAAACACTACAATCTCTAGGGATTTTGAAGACATGGTGGGACTTGAAACACACCTGGAGAAAATACAGGCTTTGTTACATTTAGATAATGAAGATGAAGTTATTATTGTTGGAATCTGTGGCCCTGCAGGTATTGGTAAGACTACCATTGCCAGAGCTCTACATAGCCGACTCACTTGCAGTTTTCGGCGTACTTGTTTTATGGAGAATCTTAGGGGAAGCTATAATAGTAGTCTTGACGAGCATGGTTTGAAGCTGCAATTACAAGAACAACTTCTTTCCAAGATTTTAAACCAAAATGGTATGAGGATATACCATTTGGGTGCGATACATGAAAGGCTATGCGACCAAAAAGTGCTTATCATTCTTGATGAAGTGGACGATCTGAAGCAACTTGAAGCTTTGGCTAATGACACTAAGTGGTTTGGTCCTGGAAGCAGGATTGTAGTAACCACGGAAAATCAAGAGCTTTTGAAGCAACATGGTATCAAGAATACATATCATGTGGATTTTCCAACTCAAAAAGAAGCTCGTGAGATCTTTTGTAGATATGCTTTTAAACAGAGCACTCCACAAGATGGTTTCGAAAATCTTTCTGAAAGAGTTACAAAGCTTTGCAGCAGACTTCCACTAGGTCTTCGTGTCATGGGTTCATATTTACTAAGAAAGACAGAAGATGACTGGGAAGATATACTGTATAGGCTAGAAAGTAGCTTTGATCCAGTTGATCGAGGTATCGAGAGAGTACTAAGAGTCGGATATGACGGTTTACATGAGAAGAATCAATTGTTATTTCTCCTCATTGCATTCTTCTTCAACTACAAAGACGAAGATCATGTGAAAGCAATGCTTGCTGACAATAACTTGAATGTCAGACTCGGTTTGAAAACCCTCGAGTATAAATCTCTTATACAAAAATCGTCCGGAGGAAATATAGTGATGCACAAGTTACTACAACAAGTGGGTAGAGAAGCGGTTCAAAGACAAGAGCCTTGGAAACGCCAAATCTTAATTGATGCTCATGAGATTTGTGATGTCCTTGAAACTGATTCTGTAAGTTCTTTTTTTTTTTTTCGTTTGAATATATGCATTAAACCGAGTCATATGGAAAAGACTCACAAGACTCTTACCTTGTTGTGCTAACTTTTACATTATTTGGTACTGATTAGGGTTGTGCAAATGTGATGGGCATATCTTTTAATGTATCTACAATCCCGAACGGCGTGCATATAAGCGCAAAAGCTTTTCAAAATATGCGTAATCTTCGATTTCTAAGCATCTACGAGACAAGACGTGATATAAACCTTAGAGTGAATGTACCCGAGGACATGGATTTCCCACATCGGCTAAGGTTTTTACATTGGGAGGTATACCCAGGAAAGTGTCTTCCTTCTACATTTAGGCCAGAATATCTTGTGGAACTCAACTTGCAGAATAACAAGCTAGAGAAGCTTTGGGAAGGAACACAGGTTGGTTTTTATATATATTTGCTTATTTAAAATATTTGAAGTATGTATGTACTTTCGTATGTTGATGATCTTTCCTTTGTTGTATTCAGCCTCTTACAAATCTCAACAAGTTAGAATTGTGTGGGTCCTTACGATTGAAGGAACTCCCAGATCTTTCAAATGCCACAACTCTCAAGAGACTAGATCTAACTGGTTGCTGGAGTTTGGTAGAGATTCCTTCCTCTGTTGGAAATCTTCATAAACTAGAAGAGTTGGAGATGAATTTATGTTTACAGCTTCAAGTTGTTCCGACTCACTTCAACTTGGCATCTCTTAAATCACTCAGAATGTTGGGATGCTGGCAATTGAGGAAATTTCCAGGTATTTCTACGAACATCACATCACTAGTAATCGGAGACGCAATGTTAGAAGAAATGCTTGAATCAATTAGGCTTTGGTCTCGCCTTGAGACTCTCAGTATATATGGCAGTGTCATTACACATAATTTTTGGTTAGTAACTTTAATAGAGAAAATGGGCACAGATATAGAGAGGATTCCTGATTGCATCAAAGATCTCCCTGCGTTAAAATCGCTTTATATAGGTGGCTGTCCAAAACTTGTATCACTGCCAGAGCTCCCTGGCTCACTCAGAAGACTAACAGTAGAAACTTGTGAATCACTCGAGACCGTATCTTTTCCTATTGATTCTCCAATTGTGAGTTTCAGTTTCCCCAACTGCTTCGAATTGGGTGTAGAAGCACGGAGAGTGATTACACAGAAAGCAGGTCAGATGCTAGCATACTTACCAGGAAGAGAAATACCTGCGGAGTTCGTGCACCGAGCTATAGGAGATTCCTTGACCATCCGTTCATCTTTCTGCTCCATATTTAGGATTTGCGTCGTTGTTTCCCCTAAATTAGGGATGAAAGAAGAATATGTTGATTTAATGTGTCGAAAACGCATAAACGGTTGCCCCAATGGCGATAACTTATTTAAGGCACGGCTCCGTAAAGTCCAAGCGGAACATCTGTTTATATTTCAATTTGAATTCCTTGAGGAAGACGGATGGCTGGAACAGGACAACGAGGTATTGTTCAAATTCACGACCTCATCCCAGGAACTAGACATTATTGAGTGTGGTATCCAGATATTGACAGGTGAAACCAATAGAAACATAAGCAGCTATGGAAGCTATGAATCCAGATCAGAGCAAGTCTCTGAATACGAAGATGAATCTCTCTCTGACGGAAGCATAAGCAGTCAGGGAAGCAATGAAGACGACGACGGATATCACTCTGATAGGAGACTTGAGTTCCATGAACAAAATTCCTTGTCCAGGTGGGGTTTCTGTGGAATTTTTCATGGCTTCTTTAGATGTTTTATGGCCTGACAATGTGGCTGCCGTTCATGAAATTTCTCAGAAATGGCCTAGTCAAGGGGGACCCTCTCTCTCCCTATCTCGTCATCCTAGCCGTGGTAGTCTTATCGTGGATGTTGAATAGTGCTGCGATTCAGAGGCAGATTGCATTGCATCCTCAGTGTGAAAGTCTTCTCCTAATGTCTATGCGAATTCTTCTTGCTTGATAGCTACTGCATCGTAAATCACATTTTTGAGACATTTCGATACAAAGCACGTGAAGCAGCTTGTTAAGTGTGACAACATTTGGCTAGAAACCAAGTTCCGCGATCTTTCTCAATGTAGACAAAGCAAATGACAGCTTATGAGTAAATAACATTGTCTGTAATATATAATGCAAGCGTTTATTGTGTAATAGTAAAACTCATAAGCAGAGGCAAAACAATCTGTGATCATTTTAATATATCCCACTGCTAATTTTCTGTAGCTAAACAGTTTCGAGTACAAGTTTTTTAAGGATTCTCTGAAAGTGTCCCTCAAGCAGCCAAACTCTTGGAGGCAATCTCAAAGACATTCTCAGACAGCCCATTTGCAGACATTATCATCTCCAGTTGTGCCTGCAAACACAACAGCTTAATCTAATGATCTTCTCAGGCTATAAAACGAATCATGGCTACAGATTTCGAGACTGGACAAAGTGGTTAAATGTGGCAAAAGAACCATGAAATGCTTAAGGAAAAATTCAAGACTTGTTTGCATTTAATGTCCGGACGATTTACCTTGGCTAGACCTTGACGGGTTTCATCGTACCGCTTCCACCTCGAAAAGGCAGACACCATACGAGAAGCAACCTATAATCAGACCAAAGAAAAAGTAGGTCGTTAAGCTTCTTGTTGTTGCCAGAATAGTTACATTAGGTAAGTAATTGCAAAGACACAAGTTCAGTTGAGAGTTTAACCTGAGGGTTCAATTTGTCTAACTGGAGGACAATGTCACCCAAGAACTTGTAACCTGATCCATCCTTGGCATGGAAATTCACTGGGGAACCGCAGAACCCTCCAATAAGCGAGTAAACCTGAAAGATTGGTATCGGTTTCATCGTAAGCATAGATAGAACTATGGAAAAGTTGTGGAATGAGGGTTTGAGAATTCACTTGCCTTGTTAGGGTTGCGCAGATCGAAAGCTGGGTGATCCAAAAGCTTCTTGACATTCTCTACATTGCCAGGAATGTCGGATGTTGATTGAAGGAGGAACCATTTATTAACAACCTGAGATCAGAAGCCGATCAATCTTAGTACGGTATATTAATTCTGGAGGCAGAAGAATGTAACTTAGGATATTAAGACCCATACCAAGTAATCGTCCTGCCACTTGTTATAGAAGTCGGCAAGAATGTCGTCACGGGTTTTACCAGGGTTCTGGGAAAGAGCTGCCAAAGCAGCAAATTGGTCGGTCAAATTGGTGGCCATCTTGTATTCATTCAGTGCAAGTTCCATATATGCTGGATCCTCGAGAGATGCAAGATAAGCTGGAGTATTTCAACAAAGCAAAACATAGTCAAGTTAGCGACTAGATCGGAGAGTATCTCCTTCTATTGAAGAATGGCTCAAGAACACACACCTAGAGCTGTGTTCTTCAAAGCACGCCTCGCCATGTTTGGGTGGTCAAAGACATAAGCTTCTGTGCTCCTATTGTTCTCGACCTGCACAAAGAAAAACAATTAAAAAATTTCAATTAATAAGCAGCAAACAATTTTATATAATGACAGGAACGTCTTCACTTCAGTGGGGAGTACAGTACGACTATAGTCCCTAATCCCAAAAGATTCACTATGTAGAGAGAAGAAGACATACTATCTTTAGAAGCTCAGCTTTAAGTTCAGATGCAAGCTGCTTTCTTACAAACTTTCTAACAGCATGAACGGCATCAGGATCCGCCACAGCCATCATGTCCATTATCTCTCCCTCCCCAGGCAGTGTTATTGCTTTGGCTATAAATTCCTACACAATAGATAAAGAAAACAGATTTGAAAGTCCTATCCTACACTTACATGGACGCTTACGCGGGAGATAAGGGAATGTAGAGCCATACCTTGTCCAAGCTTGAGTCAGAAAGAACACTGCCGAGACCTTGCACAAATTTTGGGTTTAGAACCAATGGTTTATTTTGCTGGAAATCAGAAACTAAGTTCAACATCAGCTTCCTCGCCAGAACTTGACCGGCCTCCCACCTAAAACACAGAAAAATGAATGATCGAAATGCGGAAAGAGCATAGAGAAGAACTAATATGTTGTAGAAAGGCACATACCGATTGAATTCATCTGAATCATGAGCTAGGAGGAAGAACAAGTCATCATTAGAGAGATCAGTCTCAACACGAACTGGGGCACTGAATCCCCTAAATAGGGACGGAACAGGTCTTTCTGATATATCAGAAAACACAAATTCTTCTTCTTTCTGTACATTAACAAGACATAAAGTCAGGAAAAGATAAATGAGGAAGATCAGGACAAAAGGTATAAAAATTGAAAACACTGGATGCGAGAAACGAGCAGAGGGTGTTAATTCTCAGCTAACCTTAGTCACTCGAAGTATTGTGCTGCTGCTTGAAATGGTCTGCACTGTACCATCATGATGAACAGAGGAGAGTGTAATGTCTTTACCACTCGAGTCCAGAAGACCAACAACCACTGGTATAAATGTAGGTTCTTTTGTTGGCTGGCCTGGAGTCGGAGGTATCTCCTGACTGGAAAGGTGATCAATTACAAAGAAAGCCAATGTATCAACAACAAATTCAATAGAGGTAAGATCCATAAAGGTTCAATTTCAAAGACAGGGCATTAAGTTTGGTGTACAAAGTACAAACAATCGATTTCGCGCAAATTTTGGAAGAAAGATTTAGATATGAGAAGAACCGAACCTGAATTTTAAAGAGAAAGTACGAGCTTCAGCATCGTAAGAGGAAACCACTTTGACAACTGGCGTTCCAGCTTGAGAGTACCTAAGATGTTGTATATGGTATATACGTAAAAGTCTGAAAACAAGAATCTTCACAAGAAATCCTACAATAATAATCTGACTTACCATTGCAAGAAATTAGCAAAATCAGCATTGTTTGCATCACGCATAGCAGCAAAGAAGTCTTCACAAGTCACTGCTTGCTCATCATGTCTTTCAAAATAGAGATCAATTCCCTGTAACATATGGACAAATAAAGATGATTAGAACGCCTTAGAAGAAATTTTTTGCCGCTGGTTCCACACAAAAAATGTAGCGTTCGGAAGCAACCTTTCGGAACCCCTGAGTTCCTAGTAGAGTTTTGTACATCCTGACGACCTCAGCTCCCTATGAAAACATTATTTAGTCAAATAAGGTTTCTTGCTTACTGCATATAACAGAAACACTATAAGTAACGAGCCAAACCTTTTCATAAACCTGAAACAACAACAGAAACCAAATCATTCTGTTAGAAATAATATGTAAGGGATTGATAGGAAATGAAACTATGAATAAAAAGGAATTCTCAAGTCCCTACCGTCACTGAGAGAGTAGGTGATGGCCAGAGATGTAATGCAGGTTAACAGGTTACAAAAGCACAAGCACGTTAGATTGGAAAACAATGCTGAGATTAGCATAATAAAATGTTTTAATGGAATTCCTTCTTGTGAACAGAAACTTGCCTGTGTAGAAGTTGTCCATCTGCCAGAGAAAGGAAAAGATACACATTTAGCAACACTTATAATAACATGTTACATCAACATTTCCAAGGCAAAATAAGAGAATCTCTGACCTTGATGTATGAATGTGGGCGAACAGGATGTGCCATAGGACCAGCATCCTGATAAATTAGAGGACAGATAATTTGGCATGAGAAATGAAACAATCCCATGAAGGGCCCTCAGAGGAGTACAAAATAAGGTACCTGCGGAAATTGATAGATCCGAAGCTTTGAAACATCAGCAATGCGCTTTACAGTTCGGCTTCCCATGTCAGATGAAAACTCCTGTAAAGATTTTGCAAATTTTATCATTATAAGGAAAAATTCCCGTAACCATCTTCAAATAGCAAAAGGATAAAATATACCTGGTCACGGAAGACAGTAAGTCCTTCCTTTAGACTGAGTTGGAACCAGTCACGGCATGTCACCCTGTTTTTACAAATAGACTTTTAGTCATATATTAGGCCATGTACTAACAACGTTTATTATATAAAATATACTGCACAGACAAGCATCTATCTTATACCAGACAAACAAAATTAGAGGATTCAATAATCAAGAATCAATCAATTGTAGCAAAGGGAAGGAGAGATGAGGCTGACCTGTTCCCTGTCCAATTGTGAAAGTACTGCACAAAGAAAGATGTGTTTATTGAAAATTAACTGAAACACCAGAAGATATTTCAACAAACAACATATGATATGATTACATACCTCATGACCAATAACACCCAAAATTGCAGCGTAATCCGCATCTGTTGCAGTTTCTGGAGATGCTAGGACAAGCTTGGAATTAAAAATCTGTAAGATAGAAGCTCATGGATTACTATCAAAATATAATATGTTTACAATTACATGATTTCAAATTAAGCAAGGTAGGGTTACATTCAAACTCTTGTTTTCCATGGCTCCCCTGAAAATTAAGCAAAAACCAATCAGTTTGTCTGGTATCGACAATAAGAAAAAGTAAAATGGATTGAATATATTTGCAGATGGATTAATACTATAAGTGTGACAGAATCCACCATTTGGTCATACATGTTAAAATCTGGAACAGCAACAATGTTGAAGAGATCCAGGTCATACTCAAGCCCAAACACCTAGTGAAAAAAGGGTACACATAAATAAATAATCAGATTCAGTAACCTAACAAGTAACAACTACAATTAAAAATATGCAAGTGCTTACATCCTCATCCCACTTCATGGCCGCTTTTAAGGAATACATGGCATGGGCAGTCTTTGGTAGATCTTCTGCAGGAGTCCAGATTTTCAGGGAAACCTGCCTACCAGAGCGTGTGGTAAATGTATCATCTCTGCTCACTAGCTGTCCAGCCACCAGAGCAAATAGATAGCACGGTTTCTTGAATGGATCCTCCCATAAGGCATAGTGCCGACCACCCTACATTACAATAAACAATTATGCTTTCAGTAAAGACCAAGCCGAGAGACACTTGGCAAACCAAAAAAAGAAGGCATTATTTTGCTAACCTCTACATCTCCTTGAGAAATGAGGTTTCCATTGGACAATAACACAGGATAAAGTGTCTTGTCAGCTTCCACACGACACGTGTACTTTGCCATTATGTCAGGACGATCCTGTCATTGCATAATAAGAATACCATGTAAGAACATCATTTTGTACTATCTAACAACCAGTCATCTTATCAACAAGTCGCAATCAACCTGGTAAAATGTAATTTTGCGGAAACCTTCTGCTTCGCACTGTGTGCAAAAATTCCCAGAAGACTTGTAAAGCCCCTAACAGAAGAAAACTAAAAAGGTTAGAAGAGATCATTTACATCATTGAGAGTTTAACAAGAAAGCAGAGTAAGTTCACCTCAAGTGAAGTATTCTTGTGGGGGTATATCTCAGTATCGATTTCCAAAACAAAGGACTCCTCAGCTGGAAGCGAAGGAAGAGTGAGATGACGAGAGTCCAACTGGTAATCCCCATCCTGGCCAAAGTGAACCACATATGAAAAGAGAGACCAAGTAAACAGAGGAAACTGAGTTGCTTGTCTTAGAGAAAAGTCTATATCAAGAATAACAGAGAGAGCCTAGAGATACATAGATTTTCCAGAAGGACAAGTATTGAATGGATACCTTTAGAAGCTTCCCCTCAACCTTAACTGAAAGTAGCTTCAAGTCATGTCCATCCAAGACCAATGCAGCGGAAGATCCTGGCCAACATGATACTTGTTCAGATGTGATGTGAGAAAAGAAAAAAAAAAGAGCAAAACTCTATCCTGGAGCTATGCAAACAGTGCATGCAAAAGAAACTAAACTTGAATGTTCGTTCAGCTTAAAGACACTATTGATTTTAAAAAACAGTAATGTACTAGACTTTTGTACCTTTAATTCGAGGGGAAACCTTGATTTTAGAGCTAACAATTGTTTTCTCTTCACCTAGAGAGAAGCTCAGATCCACCTAAACAAACAAAAAAAAAGGCTTCAAATAACAACAAAATGATTCTAGTCATATACTCAATTTGGAATTAAAAGAAGGCTAGCATACAGTTTCAAAGTAGTAATCAGGCTTTGTGTAGTCCTTGAGAAATATTTCTTTTGGTGCATCCATTTTGGATTCTTCAGCTTTATCCGGAACTGATTCTGTGGCAACAGAACAAATCAGCCTCCTGCTGTTTTGCTTATGTCTCTGACATATAAAACAGAATATACATTTATTTTTGCTACACAAATTTTAGAATTAAATTAATAAATTTTGGGTTTTATCTATCATAAGGGAAGGACAGAGCATGTTACATCAACAGAATGGGGTATAAACCGATTCTTCCTCAAACTAATGGCCTGAAACAAAGAATTACGGTAAAGATCATTCTCTATTTCAAATAGTGTGCACTTGATAGAAGAAAACAGTAAAGATCATTCTCTATTTAAATAGCGTGGCACTTGATGATAGAAGCAACAAAGAAACACAAACCTCAGAAGTAAGAAACGGTCTGTATTGAGTAAATCTCTTTGCCGAACTACGAAGACAACTGCTTCTAACAGGAACCTGTAAGAGAAAGTTTAAAATAATGAAAACATATAAAGGCGTAACTCGACGGAAATGAATACAAACTAAGGAAACGAGAACGCTTACTACAAAATAATGATAGGAAAAGGTTTGAGTAAAAGAAAACAGAAATCATAGATAGGAATACAAGAATCAAGAACAATTTCTTATTCCTACACAAGTTCTATCTAAGGTTTGTGTACACAACCGAATTCAAAGTAAAACATGTAAAAACTAAACCCTCAACAAAAACATACAATTCGAACAGAACTCAAGAAATTCATCATTTTAATTATTTCATTTCCACTGTTCAGAATCAATCCAAAATACAAGTTTCTATATCTATAACCAAACAAAAAAAAGAGTTAAAAGGGTAATCACAGGAGCACGAGAGAGCAAACCCAGAAGATTGACCCTCGCCAGAGAGGAACTTCGACAAGGAATTATCAACCGAGCCATTTAAAAAGAACACCCAAATTCCAAAATCCCTAAACCAACAATAACTCCTAAAAATAAAACAAAATTAAAACACTTCCTCCTTGTTGCGGCTAAATTCTCCAATCTATATAAACCCTAGATAACTCTCTCTACTCACTCTACACAGAGAAGAATCAAAGAGAAAACACAGAGCGGTAAGTTAGGGCTATGGACTTTTATAAAGATGAGTAAATGGATAGAATTTAAAATGAAAAAATTATGGCCGAGAAAATTCGATTTAATAATAACAAAAAAAACAAAATTAATATGGAGAAGAAAGCAAATGATTAAACGAAAATTAAAATTCGATTTCGCGATTTCCACAGAGATCAAATCTGGGGAAATCGATCGGAAGACGACGAAGAAGTAAATTACCAAGAGATCCGATGATCAGATAAAAGAGGCACAGCTGAAACTATGAGACGAAACCTGGTACTGATATAACACGATGAAGATATTTATAATAAAATAAAAAAAAATTTTAACACAATGATGATAGTTTGTAATTTTATTTATTTCAACACAAACAAATGAAAATATTTTGACATTTCGTGTTTATCCATTTTCCAATACCTTTTTAGCACTTCGATGCTGCTCAGATAATTTTTGTTTGAATTCGAGGATAAAAATACTACTACAAATTTTTGATCATGACTCATGAAACAGTATATGGTTGGAAGATAAATACTATTTGAAGACAAAAAAAGTTTTGTTTTTAGACTCGAAACGTTACAACAAAATCGATGCTAATCGAATAACCAAAATTATCGCAATTTTCTCTAAGGACAAAATTTTAACAGTTCTTCCAACAAATTGATAAGTAGTAAAACAGAATTTAGATAAAGGTTCAAAGCGGTTCCGTTTAGCAATCATTCACCGATGAACTGGCGCTTTTTAGCGGTGTTCATGTACGGTCTAATAACCCATTCGATCTCTGCTTCATTTTGTTCCACAGTTCCTAATTTCACCTGCAAAAAGTTGCATCACCAAGAAACAGCTTTGTCATTAAGAAACTCTTCCCTTCTTAATACAGAAAAATTAGTTTTAATTCGGCTAAGCTGAATGCATACCTGGTAGAGCCGCAACTCAAACCGAGGACCGATTTCTTTAAGCTCAATCGATTTCGGGCCTCCTTCTCCTTTATCATAGATATGATTCCTATATATTCCAACAAGAGTTTCAAAGAAAAATCAACGGAGAAAACAGATATCATCTGTCTGTTCAATTCATAAATGTGTCATTGCTTGGTGTTTTTACGTGCTTCACCGAGAGGAACAGAATCAGACTACCAACTACCAACATAAGCTTTAGAAAACTACAAGCGATGTCACCAATAAAGTTTAGTAGAAAATTTTACCTGAATGAAATATAATCAGATTGATTAGCAAAAGTAACTATACGTCTTGCATCCAGTTTTGGAGCAGGGAAGATGTGTTTTAAGATGTTTGCAACTCTTTGACCCATCTGCGAAACAAAAGGAAATTAAATTGGAAAATATGTTTACATTAGAAATGAAAAAACAAGAACGATCAATCGATGAGACGCAACGAAGCTTGATGGTTTACAATACCAAATTGCAGTAAGAACAAAGTGAATTGGTTCTACGAATATACCTGAGTAGTAAAGTTGTTAAAAATGAGATGAGGATATTGCTCAGGCATTTTTCCAATGGCTTTCTTGTCTGAAATATCATGTCTTGTTACCTAAACAGAAGGGACTTTGGATTAAGTAAAACGGCTTAACTAGGAGTTGGAAAAGAAAAAAATCAGATCTTCAAAGAGTTACTTACCACATTAAGTAATCCAAAGTATGCAGTTGGTCCAAATGGGAGATGAGAGATAATGAGACCATCAGGCACACCACGGTGCTCATGAACCAATATAACATCAGTAAAATCATGCGAACGAGCAGTTTCAATGATCTCAGAAATGACCTGCAAATAACAAAGTGGGATAATTTAGATATTACGATTCGAATGCAACATAGTTTTCATGTTCCACTAATATAGAGAGGTATTGTGTTGTGTATAAGTGTCAATACAACTCCAGCTCAAATGATGGTTTATAATTTATATTAGTCAAGCCTCGATTTGAAATCTAGATTCTGCTGAATTGGACAGACTCAACTACTGTTTAAATTATAAAACTTCATCTGATATGCAGTTCATTGATAGGACCGGTGTTGCACATAAGTTAACAATGATCCGATAAAAGTATATGCAGATGCAATATTTATACCCAGGAAACAAAATGTTTTGAAGGGAGCTAATACGATTAGCAATCAAGTTAACAACATCAATAAGAATCCATAAGCAGTGACCAATTAGAAGACAAAGCCAGGTTACAGAAAAAGAGGAGTAGATACTGCCAAATGGATTAAAGTACAGAAGCCAGAACAACACACATACCTGACCACCACGATTTATATTCTGAGAGTTAGGAAATACAAACTTCAATTCCTGCAACAGAAACCACACAATCAAAGGTCATAAATCAAAGAAAAGGCACAAATCACTAGCCAAAAACAAACCCGGAAGAAAACAAGCCAGACAGTAATGTCAGCATCTTCAACGACCAAAACTAAACTAGACAATACCTTTGTGAATCGGATGAGCGGAGCACTTGGATTCCTAGACGTTGTCAACAAAATCTTTGGATCAGCTTCCGTAGCATTTGCATATTCATCGTCGATATGACTCCGCGGAACTATTAACAACATGATTAGAAAGATAACCATTAGCTGATGCCACAAACCATTTATATCCCCATACCACAGGTTCAAACCATAGCTTTTGAATACAAAAGATAAGAACAAATTCGTCATCTTTCAATGAACCCCAAAATATATAAATTAATCCAGAAAAATGCTTATACTAATTCAGTATCAATATAACAAAAACATAAGTTACACAACTGTGCTTCTAATGTAAATGCATACAATTACAATATATCAATTGATCAAACCAATCGGAAAAGTTTAGCTCCCAAATTCTTACCAGCTGTGTTTTGGTCTTCAAGATCAATTTCTTGTCGAAGCCTGGCCTCCTCGTTTCGGAGCTCAGTAGGAATCGGCTTTCCTTCTGTTAAACCATAAAAAAAAAAAACAAAATCAAAACAACGAAAAGCATCGAAACAATGAACTGTAAGAGAAATTAGTCGTCGATTATTTAAACAGATATGACAAAAATCACTAGACCTTGAAGGGCTTCTCTTATCTTCCGCTTCTTATCATAGAGCTTACGCTCATCACCTTCCAAGTTTTTCCTGTAGAGATACTCTTTTCTTAACCTTACGTTTCTGCGCAACATCGTGATTCGTCGTGAGGCTAAGGAATCGAACTTTTTTGGTTGTGGCGGATTAGGGTTTTAGGAAAGGGTTTCAAGAGAAGCAGGAAGAAGAATGCGACTGTAAGAAGTGTTGAGAAATTAAAAAAAAACGGCAAGGTGTTTGTCTTTAAATACGTGAAACGGGGATAGCAAACCATTTTGGGCCGTTTATTATCTCTGGGCCTTAAAGAAACCCAACGAAAAACAAAAAATAGGAAAAATGGTAAAAAGGGTGCCCTCACGCAGGATCGAACTACGGACCTTCAGTTTACAAGACTGACGCTCTACCACTGAGCTAGGCTATAAGGGCATTTCTGTCTTAAATAATACTGTAAATTTATTATTTTATTCAATAACTCTGTAAAACCAAAATTCAAAGGCAGATTCATGCTTAACAATAACAACAAACTAAACTTGGACATTGCTTATGAGTTATGAGACCCAAACAATCTAACCACATAAACAGAGGTGCACAATTACATGAAGATAAAAGGAGCTTAAATAATTTACATAAAACGACAATAAAAAGGATACAAAGTAACCAACAAGTGAAAGAGAAAGATTTTACACTTCAATTAAAGATGGAACTTTAAACATTCATTGATTATTCATATACATATATACAAAGTCACCGGCTTCTTTTTGTCACCCCCGGTTTAGCCATTAAGCCAGCCACATGATTCATACCAAGACCAATACGGATTAAGGATCAAGTTTACCTGCGATTGCAACATCATCTTCATCATCACCGTCTGAGGCATATTCGTCTTCACTCATTTCATCATCACTTGACATTTCCTCAGTATCCGCCCTTGGCTTTGCGTATTTCTCACAATATTCTGAAACCGCGCAAGAAGATAAGAAAATATAGGGTTTTCACTATCTGAATGAGTAAAAACAAGAATCTAAAGCAACTCAATATCTAACCTTTAACTCTCTGTTCATAGGTAGGACGATCACGCATCATCAATGCAGCTGCTTCTCCATTCAATGGATCTGACGGATTCGGATACAGAAGAAGTTGAGGAAGAAACGTCTCGAACACATTCACCAGGTCTGAATAACTAAATCCAAATGACAATTAACATAACAAAAACTAACAAGGGTTAAAGCTATCTTGTATATTGTTCATTAGTTATGATCATACCGAACATCGGGCTCCAGGTCTGGTTAATAACATCTAAACAAACAGAACCTGACCTGCACAACCACAAACAAAGAAGCATAACAAATAAGCACCACTCAAGATTTGGAGAAGGAAGATACTCACTGTCCAAAACATCTACTGATTCGATTCCTAAACTCACATTTCATCGACATTCGGGTGGTATATTTTGGTAATGAAACCAACAGATGGAGATTTATAAGGATAAGCATCTGGAAGTTCCACTCTTATCTTCCACACACCTCCCTCATATATACCTGTCCCATAGTCCAAACACACAGATCAAACACCAAACTACCAAATTCTTTGTTACTAAAAATGATGCAAAACCTGATATAATTATCAGCAACAGTAGCAGAACCAAATCTTTATATGACTTCATAATCATAATTGATACTAAGAAAAACACCAAATAATCTGATTTCCCTAAACTATAAACAGAACCAAATCTCTATGACTTATAATCAAAGACGAATTAAGTTACTTACTGTCTTTGGGTCCATTGAATTCAACAAAGAACTCTTGCATGCCATCATTGATCATCTCCACCTTGTAGTCACTCATCATCCTAAACTCTCACATCAAATCAACAACAAAATTCGAATCAAATCACCAAACAAAACAAAACAAAAAAAATCCAAGCTCAAAGTCAATAATAAACCGATTATATAATAAGAATAAAAAAAATTTACAGTTTCATCAAATCCATTTCTCTACGCTTGCTCGGCGAAGACATGGTTTCTCTCTTCTTCTTTTTTGCTGAATTTTTTTTTTCCGGGAATCGAGTGGAGAGAAAAGGAGAAAGTGAGAGAATCTTTTAATATTTTATTACAGATATCGTTGATGATGATGATGACGATGATGATGATGATGATGATGATGATGATGATGATGATGATGATGAATGATGATGTGAGATGTTCCAAATTAGTGAAATTTATTGCCGTGTTGACAAAAAAATAAAGTTTTCAAATTCAAGTTTCGACGGAAAAAAAACTGTGGACTGTAGTAACTCAAATTTAATAATTACGCATAAATATAGAATTCAAATTCATGTACATGAAGCTATTTGCAAATCAAATATAAACCATCAAAGTATTAAATCGAAACATTTGAGATCATGTAACTAATCTTATCTATAAACTGTTACTGTAAAAGAAAGTATTTTTTTTGTTTGTTAAAATCTTACTTAAATTGTCTCCTGGTTTAAATAATGGAAATTTATTTGAGTTATTAGAGGTCCCATAAGTACAATATGTTTTCACATAATAACATTTAACACTTACAGTAGTTGGCAATAAAATGTTTTCACTATTGATTTTCAGATTTTATAGTTCTTATTATATAATTTTAACATTTATACATTTATATACTTGCATTATTTTGGTAATAAAATGTTTTTAGCTAAACTTTAAGGAAACTTTTAGTGTTGTATTACAAAATTGTGGAAACAAACCGAACATATGGTATGCGGTTCAAATTTTTATTTGGTAATAAAATGTTTTCACTATTGATTTTCAGGTTTTATAGTTTTTCAAAGTAAATGGTATTAGAGATAAATGTTTTTCACAAATACTACTCTGTAATACGTTTTGTATATGTATTTGCTTGTCACATAACCTTCCCCGAAAGGTCTTGAGCTTTGTTTATTAAAAAAAAAAAAAAAAGAAGAAGAAAAAATAGTAGAACGAAATAGTCATTAAGCTTTTGGTACACATGGAAGAAGGAAAACTGGTAATGTGGTTGGTCTCTTTAGACAGTTTGAGTATGATGAGTAAACAAAATTGACATACAAAATTTTAAGGAAAATTGTACCTAATTTTAATAAGACAAGTTTGATATTTAGACAAAGCGTGGAGGCTTGAGCAAATAGATATCCCTTACCAACCCTTTACCCATTTCACCTACCGCCTTCAACATCTCCATTGGATTACTTTCTTCTTCCTCTTCATCTCGTTCTCGTTTCTGCAATCAAACATTACATTTGTTATGATTTTTCCTTTCGTTTTTGTTTGAAGTAAGACACTAAGAAGATTTCTTACCTTTGAATTGTGTTTGTTCCATGTTAAACCAATTGCGTCACCTCCTATATGATCATACCACGGCTTCAACGTCCCAAACTCTTCCTGCAAACAACCCGCATAAGATAAGAATCGCGAGATAGCTTCCTTTCTTTTAACAAGAGATTGAATAAATATGAACGTTTATGTTCTGATTACAGCACTTGCCTGCAACCCACTCAGCAAGCACTTGGTCGGCTCAAAGTCCACCATTAGCTTATTCTTAAGCTCTTCATGGCTTCTCTTCAAATCTCCAGGCGACATAAATGGGTTAAACAATCTACTCGCTTTTCCCCGTGCTACATGCTTCCCTGTTCAATAATTGGGAGAGAAGTTTAATGGTGGAAGTAACGATATAAACATAAGAAACAGAGACAGAGAGAGCTATGTTTGGAACCTTGGTTAAGTTCAGATGGAAACAGAAGACGACGTGGATAAGGTAATTTGTCTCTGTGGAGAAGAATAACTGCGTCATAGTTGTGCAAGGGTGTCCTGAAAAGGCACTGCAATATATATGCATATAATATTAGTCGTCGATATAATGTTCTCATAATAACCAGCTCAATATAATTTGTTTTCAATGCATCTCACTCACCTCCCATCGAACAGAATCGTTATGTTCTTGCAATACCAACTTGCTCAACACGTTTGCACTGCTTCGAGCATAAGCCACCAACCTTTTTTGTTCCTTTTACAAAGGAAATAAAAGAGAGTTAAGACATGAAGAAAAAGAACAGAGTAGCGGAAGATATGCTTTTCAAAAGCGTATTCTAATTACTAACCAATAAATTTGGTGAAGTTGCCGTCCATGCCTCTGATGCCTTGTCGTAAGGAGCAGCCAAGAACATAGCTGAACTTATGTTTTGTCTGTCTTCTTCGTAGCCTTTTCTACTTGACATGAAGTTATCCTAGAAAAAACCAGAAAACATTTACAATGACATACGGCAGTTCTAAAAATCTAGCCCAACACTAGACCCATTATCAAACTTGAGACTCACAGTGATCTCTTTCTCGTCATTTCTACCAAAATCATTGTTTATGTCAACAATCAACGGGTAGAACATCCAGTCATAGTCCGCTAGTAATCGCAAGAACCTGTTACACGGTCCAGCGGAAAAAGATGTGGCGTTTTGATTGTTGGCAACAGTATCACTTTGGTTGTTTTCCGTCAAATCAAAAGTATGGTAGCGGGGAAAGATACCTTAAGAATCCATTAATTCGGGAGCAAGGAACACCAAGTGGGAGAGGTGTGAGGAAGACATGAGCAACCAAAAGTTCAATGGCCTCTTCTGCCAGGCAACCAGAAAAGAGATGCGCAGAAACCCATCTTTTTGCAAGCCTTAAGGTAGCAGACAAGGTCTGGGTTATGAAACTTCAAAGCAAACAAAAGTAAATACATGAATTATATTGACTTTTTACCTGGCAACTGGTGCGTATATAGGAAATCGACCTTGCAAACCATTGATCATACTTGCATGTTGACTACGAATAAAAAGCATTTTATCGATAGAGGAAACATGCTTCACCGGGTCCACTCCAACTGCGACTCAGTAGAAATCGAGGAAGTTAGCATCACAAAGGCTTTCTATTCAGAAATAGAGGATAGTGTGTACGAGAAGAAAACTCACTTTCTCTCTTCACCAAACTCAGGCCTCTTTCATGCAATATTCTCAGGCGAAATGCGTAACCACCCATGAAAACATCGACATTATCCTCAGTAGCTGTGCATGGTATTCCCTTGACGTTCTGAAGGCTGTCAGTATTTTCGTTTGTAAGTACTCAGATAACAACACTGTGACTTAATAGTTTGAAGTGTTACAAACAATAGCTTCACCCACCTCTCTGCAATTTT